CGTCACTAGTTTAATCTATGTTATCGACAGCACTAGCTGTCATATTGACGATGTCATCTATCAAATGGGACAGATTAGAAAAGTTTCCCGCGCAAAGTGGAGTGACGCGCGAATCTGGTGGGAAGTTTGAGGAGCATTGCGCTGTGTGTTCTTAAAAGAATCCGTTCCATTTATAATAAACTTTTCAGTATTTAAGTATTGAGTTTCACTTAAAAATACATACAAACTCGCATTTATAATGTTAGTAAGATCATCATCATCATCATCATCCTATAAATGCCCACTGCTGAACAAAGCCTCTTCTCACACGGAGAAGGTTTGAGCATTAATCACCACGCTTGCTCAATGCCGGTTGGCGATTACAAACTTATAATTAGAAATTATTAGCCCAGGTTTTCTCACGATGTTTTCCTTCACCGTTTGTCAGTGGTGTCTAGATAATCTAAGAAAGTACATATTACTCAAAAATGTCACATTGGTACTTGTCGTTGGTAGATTTCGAAGCCGCACCCTCATGCATGAGAAGTGGGCGTCTTAAACCTTCGGGCCAACAAGACACGATACAATAAAATAAGTTATATATCGGAATACAGAAACGCTACTCAATTTTAAGTCGTGCTTAAGTAGTTCTATCTCTACAAATTCTTTGTAAAATGACAGAGATGGCACGATATTTGAGCACGACTTAAAATTGAGTAATATTTCAGTATTCCGGCATTAGTCACTTATTTTAGTGTCTTACTATCTTACTACTTTATCTTGGTGGAACTTATTTATTTTTTGGAAAATAAAGCAATAAGCAATGGGTGCGAAAGAAGGAGACAAAAGACGAATGCTGTAATAATTAGTATGTAATATGTGTTAAACAGGAGAAAGGCAATCCGCTAAAGTTCCGCGTGGAGAACTCCTACAGCGACAAGGAGTACGACAAGGGGTACTTGCTGCTCACCGCGCCGTGGTTCAGGGAGTTCGTCTTCGAGGTATGTTCAACACTTATATTATTTCAAATGTTCAGAGGCTACTCAATTTTTTAGCTGTACTTAAATGTCGTGCCATCTTAGTCATTTTACAAAGACTTCGTACTGGCAGATATACAAGTGCGTCTTAAAAGAGTGGCGTTTTTATTCATTCTTTGTTAGTGTGGACAAAACACACTTACATCAACGGCATCACAGAAGAAATAGATGCTTATCTCTAAATAAGCATTCATGTTAAATAATATTGCATACAATACAAACACATACAAGACTTAAGACGCCAGTGGCGCCCCCTAGAAGTTGTATATTTAGATTTCACTAAGATAGTAACTCTTTATTCTATTCTACAGGTGGTAGTCGACAAGAAATACGTGCCGGAAGAAGTGTTGCAAGTATTTAAACAGGAGCCGAAAGTGTTGCCAGCTTGGGACCCGATGGGTACGCTCGCTTGCCCCTTCTGTTCCAAAGAATAGACCACCAACCGGTGGCAATATACGTCCAGCTATAGGTAGTTGTGTCGACTGAACTGGCAACCCTTATTATCTCAATAGGGATGACGATAGAGTATGAAAATTTGAAATCTATTTAGTCCGTTAGTAAGATAATGAAAAAATATTACACACGCATTTCATATTTTGTCTTATAAGAAAATTAACATAGATAAAAAACGAATCAAAGTTGAGAAGTTTAGGTCCAGGAGCTAGCTACGTCATTCCTAAGTACAAACCATACCTAGAAGTGACGTCACGCGATATTTGAAATCGACAGTATCGTCGAAAAATCTTATTTTAGAAAATACGTGTCTAATATTTTTTAAAAATCTACAAAGCGGGCATTAAAAATATTGAGTCGTCTTCGCTATTACAGGATGAAAAGAAGCAAATCCGCTTCACGGCGCGTCCAAGTTGAATGAAGTCCATTCTGCCGCGAATTTTTAACCATAGATAAGATACACCAAGTAGGTGTTCGAAGTGGTATTAAATATATTTAGCAATTTACTAAACGTAGATTGTTTGACACTTTTATTGTAAGGGTTGCCAGTTCATAGTCGATTTAGTCTTACCTGTGGATATTACGTCTTTAGTAAAATGCAGCTAACCGCCGTACTCAGAGTCAGTTTAATGGTTACTTTACACAGACCTTAGCAATTGTTTTCGGAACAAAATCGTGCTAGGCCACAACTGTGCTTACGATGCTTTCTGCCTCGCACAGCAAAACTGTGGAATGATCTGTCGTCGGCGGTATTTCCAAACCGATACGACCGTCAAACCTTCAAGAAAAGAGCGTATTCCTTTTTAAAAGGCCGGCAACGCAGCTGTGCCTGCTCTGGTGTTGCGGGTGTCCATGGCCGGCGCTGATCGCTTACCATCAGGTGATCCGTCTGCTCGTTTGCCTACTATTTCATAAAAAAAAATCGTTGCTAAGGAATGGTTTAAGTAATCATTAAGTATCTGACTCTGAGTACGAGAGAAGGGCCCAAATACTAAAACGCTAGTCAATTTTAAGACGCGCTTAACCGCTTGAATGCCTGTATATGAGACACAATAAAAAATACTTTGTGTCTCGCGTGGATCCACGTTTAGACACACGAAAAGTTAAGGTATATTGACCTCTATCACTACAAAGTCTTTGTAAAATTACAGAGGTACAGTAGCAGTGAAGTACAGTTTAAAATTCAGTAGCCTTTTAATATTCTACTACTTACTATCCCAAGTTACTTGATCAGCAAAATTTTCTTGCATTGTCTAATTCTCATTTGTCACAGTGTGACAAAAGAGAATGGAAGAAAATTTAAATAAGGTAGGCATAAATAGGAAAGTATTCCATATTTTCCTATTTATGCCTACCTTCTTATTACATAAGACTTGAAACTAGCGAAAAATAAATCTTAAAATATTCCTTCAACGAATAAAAGTGTTCCTATAAAATAAAAAGTATTTCTAAGATACGTAATGTTCACAGTATTGACTATTTTTTACTAAAGAGACATATTATCTGTAGTTTAGACATTTTGTACGGAAGCAATATATGTTTTTATATCGCAGTGTGAATTAATCATGCCTATATTAATACTAATTTCCAATTAAACCATTATTTTAACTTAGACCAATGTAATGAACTAGCTGAATTATAATCCATCTCCATTTTTTAATAACAAATAGTATAATGTTGCTGCCTTAACAAAAATAGCAAGATAATTTATAGACAAATAAATGGTGCTTGACTCGTAATAATTTACCCTTAGAAAGTAAAAGAATCTCTTATATTTAAATTATAACTTTAAGATGCTCTAAAAACCAATATTTGCCATAAATATTGACTGATTTATAAAAGAGCCTGGAGCTCTTTTCACTTATGGCAATACCAATAGTAACTCAGTATAGATAGAATATAATGCTAACAGATACAAAATACAAAATGGAGATGGAATTTATTAAATATTTATATATTTACCATTTTTATATTACAATTGTGTTCAGTATGTTACCAAAACCATGTTGCTATTTTTTGTAGACAGAATTTTAAATTTCTTTATTTTTATATTGCCATATTGCATTCTTACGGCTTTTGTTATGAATTTACCATCAACAATATAGTCGCCGCCGGAATATCATTATTTCATAAATAAAAATGTTTGAAATGCATTTTATTATTTTTTTTAAACCTAATGTGCATAATTGTATATAACTAAAGAATTGTATTGTGAACCTGATTGAAAAAGAGTAACCTATGGAATTTCTTGCTCGTTCTTCTCCATAGGAATCTACACCTTGGAAAGAGCAAATAGCTTTTTATAACTGTTAAATTTTTTGTTGGCGTTCAAAAGTGTCTTTTGGTCACATTGAAAATTGAAGTAAATGGTTTTGAATTTTGAATAATAATTACAAAAAAATACACGGCAAAGTTGTTCCCTACGTACTATAAGTTATAACTAAGTATGACTCAAATTCGTGACATAGAAATTTACGTGATAATATTAAAGTCAGCCTTGAAACCCTGTTTTGAATAAATGTTTACGCAAAGGCTAGGCGACCGGCTGTTATGCAATAAGTCCCATATTCAAAGCACTGGAGACTTCACCATTTTAATTATACATACATTTGAGAGCAAAGAAACGAAACCTCTAGTGTTGTTTTTTCATTTTATTGAACACTAACTTTAAAAAAGATATTCCTTTTACAACAAAATGCTCTCGTTTTAAAGGTAACTAAATTGCCTCTTTTACAACATAATGTCACAAATTAATAAAACACTCGTACCAGAAAATATTTATCAAGAAATGAGAAAGTAAAAATGCATTGGCTCCGTTTCTTTGCTGCTAAGTGTAGTTTGTTGAAGACCTATATTTTTTAAGGTAACAGAACAGGGGTTTCGTATCAATTAATACTTTACAAATTGACCAATAATAAAATAGAAAAGTCAATGGGGTCACTAGCCAATCATTGATTGTATGTAAAAATATGCAAAATGTAATAAATAAAATTTATTTACATTACCAACAAAATTAACAATGGCAATAACCACGAATTACTAATTAGACAAAAAAAATTTTTTTTACAGGTTAAACAACTTGACATTGAGGAAAATGATGAATACAAACATGTAACTAACTGTGTATGAGTACTAAATACAATAATATGAACCAAATAAAACTGATAGAGACCTTGACTTCTAATTCTATTAAATACCTACGCAATAAATATCACAAAGTGACATTAATTACTACATTATTGTTGACTTTCAAAGTAGACTACTATGTAAAATGAATTAATTAAATCAGGACCTACGGTAAACTAGAATTATTAGACTTCCAAAGAAAAATCAATACAATTAAGTTGACATTTGGGTCAACATTATAATCAGTGGTCCACTTATTCCAATCTATCCATTGGATTTACGACTGTATATCAAAACAGTAGAGTTGAAAGCTAATAAAGGTCATTAGGCAAATCTGATCTGCTTTGTGAAGTGTGCAGAAACAAAGGGAAATTATAATAATATGACCTTTATTGCAATTAAACATTTAATCACAATTTGATGGAAAAAAATTGTACAGAATCATTTAACTATACAATTACAGAGCATTTTATTGAATTTTTTCCATATCTTAGGGAGACATGGCGAGATGGAGGCTCAGAAAACCTTGAATTCCTAATGTACCTACATATACTTGACCTATACACAGCAGTATTGATCAACTTATATAAGTTTTACTAAGACACAGATGTATATTGGAATTATTTGGGCCATATTTGACTATACTAAAATCATATTTATGTCAGCACATTAAATGAAAAATAAAATATTGGAACCTTGCAATTGCACAAACTTTATTAACATTGCACATAGTCACTGAATAATGGAACCAACTCACATAACAATAAGACATTATTTCAAATAAATCATTGGCAGTATAAACTCAACATAGTTAAATGGAAAAAATATAATCAATTGCATTGAATAGACAACTAGATCTAAAAAATAATGCACTTACATATTGCTGGATACAGAATCAGGACCCATGATTAAAACATAGACAATGAGTTTTCATCACTATGCATCTATTATAAGGTTCAATTTGAAACAGCATTTTGCACTTTCCCGTTTTTCATATCGCAGTCTTTGTCTTCTTTATCTTCTGCGGTCTGGGACTCATGCTTTAAGGATCTCAAGTACTTGAGTTTAGCCCAAACACCTTGGCACATACGTATCAAACGTTTGTCGTGTGTTTCTCTTGCAAACTCCGCAACATTCCTTACTATGTTCCTAGATATGTGTAGGTTGCCTTTCTGGGCTTGTGACAGTGCTGAGTAAAGGCGACTTCTTGCTGCCAACCCTTCATCACCAAGCATTCTGGACAGCTTATATTGCCGGAGTGATATTCTACCTGCTTCCTCCGCCTGAAATATTAAATTTTTGTTAATAATGAAACAATTTTTTGAAAAGGAAGTCAAAATGATGGGCCCACCTCTCAATAACATGTGATTGTTGAATACTTTTAGCATGATTTCATATTCAAAAACTTTAATTGACATTTGATTTGCACTGTCCGTTAACTATCTTTTAATACTTACACAATGATCAAAATAGTCACCGAGAGCAGAATAGGCACCTCCCAATGTTGACAGCCATGAAAAGGCATTCTCAATCTCAACTCTTGTCCATATCAGACGGAGGATTCTTTCATTCCTGAAAAATAAAAGGTACACTGTTGTTTCATTTAAATTTTTAGTTCTAACTTTAAAATATATTGCTGCAAAGTGTGCTTGGAAGTTTTCCGTACAATAAAATCCAAATATGTTATATTATTTTAGACATTAGGCTTTATGGTGTGGCAGTTTTAAAACTAAATAATGCAGTGCAAAAATGTTTCAGTCCGGATTATATTTTATATTTATGTACAGAACACTCACCAAGCATAGTCAATGATTTCTGTATCTGGAGGTTCCAGAATTAATTTCAAAAACACTGTTCCACACGCAGGATATCCGCCCAGCCGGTTCAAGTGTGACACCACATTGGCTCTGTACACATCAGAGTTCACACACTCCTTCACAAAAGGCTGTAGAAATAACGCATTCGTTCTCACTCTTAGCTTCTTTTTAACTTCATCTTCTCCGTCTATTTCCAGTTCACAACAGTCACCTATCTTCACACCAATGGATTTATAGTATTGTTCATCAGGTAAGATGCTCAGGTCCTCAGTTATAAAGAATATTGTGTACGGACTCCGAAATAGACGAACTTTAGCTACCACCTGCATTCTACCAGCATTTGCTAGGTTATATTTTATTATCAAAACAAATTCACTACAATATCGATAAATCACATTAAAAATGAACAATATGAGCAATTATATTCAAATTTGCGCAGTATTTTATGTAAATATTGTGATTCACAAAATCTTATTGCCCATCACCGTGAATAGAAAATACAAATGTCAAATTGTCAATTTCATTCATTTGTCATTTGATTTTGAAGACATTCATTAGTTTTTTTTTACTAAAATATTTTGATTTTTTTTAGTTTGACACCTTGATTGATATCTATTAGTTTTCAATGCTGGCAAGGTAATAGCGTCACGCAACATTTTACATTTAGGGGTAAGCAGAAAAGCGAAATCTGTGTGATTGTAGGTAACTATCGTGATGAGGCGATCTCATGGTGGAATGACAGCAACGACTGTCGCAACCGAGGGCTGGGCTCTCTGCTGTTGCAGCGGTAAGTCCCCTCTTTGAGAAGTGACTTGAGAGACGCCACGGCGTCCTCACCTACCGCCTGACGCAGGTGCTTAACGGACACAGAAGTTTCGTTAAGTTCTTGTTTCGGATTGGGCGGGAGGAAACGCCCGGGTGTCATCACTGTGAGGACCACCCAGAGGACTCAGTGGAGAGTACAGTGGCGGTGTGTCCTGCTTGGGCTGGGCACCGCTGTGTCCTAAGAGATGTGATCGGCGACGGTGACCTCTCGCGTCCAGTTCTGGTTCAGGCCATGGTGCGGAGCGAGGGGGACTGGGATGCCGTCTCCTCCTTCTGCGAAACAGTCATGCTAGCCAAAGAGGAGGCGGAGCGCGGAAGGAAGGAAGGAACCAACCTCCTCACGCCCCAGCCGTCGCGGGGGTGACGTCGGGGATCGTCCCGCGGGACAATCCCCGACGTGACTTGATGAATAATTGCTGTTATCAGGTTACAGACATTTTCCATCATTACTAAAAACGCCTATTTGTTAGTATGTAACAAATACTTACGATCTTTTTTGACGTGACAACGTCTTAAATTAGGTTGCGGCTGGGAGTCACTTATGAAAAATTGTAACGCTCGGTAACGTTACGATGAGTCACCGAACGAGAGAGAGGCCCGCCGAATGCCTTGCGTCTCTCTCCCACTCAACTATGATCGGTCTGCCGCGCGCGCAGCACTAGTTCATTCAATTCCTTGTTCCTATTGTGCAATTTAATTATATTCATATCAATAAATATTCTACCGAGAAAAAGACGTTGTCACGTAAAATCTTCGCCCGTAAAAACGACTTTACAGGCAACCATTTTTTTTATCTTCTTTTTTTCTTACTTTATTTCCATATTTTGTCATTTCCCACGAAAAAACACGATATTCTCACATGTTCTGAAGTGCTATCTCTTCCTGTTGAATACAGACCACTGGGAAACCAAAATAAAGTCGCACACTGTGTGACATTCTAACAAATAATCGCATCAAAACAAATAACACGCCTTGAAAATGTGTGTGATGGTGGGAAAAGTGTGGTTTCAATACAAACAAGAGAGTTTCGTAAACATTCAATATCTAATTCATTGTGAATTCAAACGGATTCAGTTGTAATTCAACAGTTCTTGAATATGTTCAGTGACGCGGACTGAAGTTATTATTTTGGTCGTTTTAATTTACTACAATTTATTATGGGGGACTTTCAGTGCTGTCTAATAGTATTACTACTTACCATTCGAAGTAAGTTTAGACACACACACACACACTAACAGAAACTAGTCATCAATTAACATGGATATCATATATTGATACCTACATAATATTTATACCCCACCGCGTGTCAAGGCATTATAGACTCTTGAGGTCTGACGTAATGTTGTTTTCAGTTCAACTTGGTGCTGGTGTAATGTGGGAGCGGTTGCGGTGCTCTGCAGATTCCCTGCAATCTATGCCTGAGGGCACAGTGTCGGACATCGGAAGGTTCCCCTGGCTTGGTCTTGTGCAACATAGCTTCTGTTTGTACCTACTGTCAAGACTATTTGCTTATAATATTATATTTTGATTTGTTACTTGTACACTCGTGGGGAACGAGAAATTATATTTTGTTTAAATAATTTGCCCCACACTAGGATTTTCTCCTGTGTCGTGGGTGCATTTACAAACAAGACTCGTTTACATACACATCACACCCAGACCCGAAACAACAATTTGTTGATCACACAAGGCGTGGCTCCGTGCGGGAATCGAATAATCGAATAATACCTTGCGCGGTAGCCGGTTGTCCAGCTATCGCGCTAACCGTGCAGTCCATTCTATATTATAATCCAGACCCCGCTCATACAGAAGTGCAGTCTAAATGAATCTTTATACCGTTAGAGAGATAAAACCATGCAGGCCTCACAGAAAACCGGCGTGATCCTCCCAAAATATTAGCAACGCACTTGTAATTGCGATCGCTATTGAGGTTGACAAATAAAATACTAATAATATTATATTTCAGACCTAGCAGGCAGGGTTCATTTTGCAATAACTGGAGCTGTTCTCATTCACCCTGCGTTTGCGATTGCAGCAGCTGAAGATATGGCGAGGATTGAACCTTCAGAAATCAAGTAAGTGTTATGGGACATAGGTACCTGCGATGGTATGTAAAGTCTGTATCAATAAGGAAAATCCCCCGTTAATATTTCTGTGCGTTTAACTACGGTCTCGGATCTAGCCAAAACATGTAAGTCATATACCTATTACTTTTTTCAGGAACAATACGAAGCTAATTCTTTGGGGCAGCAAGGGCAATGAGAAGCAGAAGTTCGCAGTAGATGTCATGGATTATATACTACATCCGCAATACCAAAATAGAGTGACACTTGCCACCATTGCACTTCTGGACTTAGTCGGGTGGAGTGAATCACAGATGAACGACTGGAAAGGTGATTTATACATTACACTAACGTTGCCCGCGACTTCGTCGGCATAATATATTGATTTCTGGTAGAAATTGGGTTTTTGAATTCATCTTTGCCAAGGTATTACAGCTGTACAACTGTAACAAATGTAATAATCGATTCAGTACATAAGTTATATTTATTGCGAAATGAGTTTATTATCGTGGTTTCAGAAAATAAAAAATCCCACAGGGGTTTTATCCGTACGGTGCCCATCCCGTGAGGTTTCAGTAATAAAAACTATTCTGTTTGCAAATCAATGTTGTACCGAATCTCAATCAAATAAATACCTAAAGTGATTTAAATTAATACTAAGAATTGTCTTTAATCTCTGTCGTGTTTGATTTCTCTATTTTTTGTTTCCTTGTATTAAAATGTCTGCCTCGGTTGTTAAGTGACCGTAAACACGTTTATGGACCGAATGGTTTTGCGTTCACGGCTCAAATCCTGGTTTTAGCGTCCTATTAGCTTCTACTAGCGACTACGCCATTCCCGTGGGATAAGAAGTAGCCTATGTGTAAACCAAACCCTTATCTACCCTTATTCCAAGTTTCATTCCTTTCAGCCGTTTTGCTATGATTGAATATCAAACATGCACACAAACTAACAAACATTCGCATTTGTAATATTAGCTACCTACTTATTACTAAGTCTTTATTTGAGTAACATTATTTTTATATTTGTGTTTCTTTCACAGCCCCGGTGTTACCTATTTGCATGCCTGTGAAAGGAGGTGGACTTTTCACTGATATGTACGCAATAAAATTTACAGATAGTGAGTAAAAACTTCATATTTGCTATTAAACTCTATTAAACTAAAAGCCGAAGTCTCGTGACGATCTCCGGTTACCGAAAGCGCGAGTCTGTGGACAGCAAGCAAGGATAGCTCGTTGCCTGATCAGAATCATCATCATCATCATCATCAAATCCCAATCGATCGACATTGATATTATAATGTCTCTTTAGCTAGTTTAGCTAGTAGCTTAGAGTACAGTTACAATGGGCCCTAGTGTTGTCTAGGGTCCATTGTAACCGTATTGCGTGAATATCTAATAAACTAAATTATATTTAGTTTGGCTTTATGTTCCATACTCTGAATGGCATTTTAACAGCTACGATTGGGTTTGTATAATTTTGAGTACATTGAATTGAAATTGAATTGACATTGACATTTATTTTCAAGAGTAAAAATTGAATTGACATTGATTTTCAAGAGTTAAAATAGAATTGACATTGACATTGATTTTCAAGAGTAAGTGCCCAGACCAGAACATAAGGCACGTCACGTTTCAAGCGCGCCTTAAGGGGCCAAATTTCAGACCCCCAGTGACGGACCACTAGGAAAGCTAGGATCGATGCCCTGACGGGGTTACGGGTGACGTCGTTATAAGGGTATATGGTCGCGGCCCCGGCTCGAATCAGGAGTAAGGGTCTGACACTCTCTTGTTACATTGAAGATTAAACTTGAAGAAGAGAATTGACCTGCTAGGCATTCTGTAACTTTCAATTTCAATTCAAAAGATCGAATTGAACTCGATCTCGGTTCGCCATGTCATTGGTTGTGAGAATAATTTCGACCAATGACGGGCGGCGTGATCGAGTTCACTTCAAAAGTTCAAATTGACATTTACAGAATGACCTAACTGAATGTTTTCCTTCAAGTCCTAACAGTATAGGCGTGCTCCGATCGAGCAGCGAGTATTTAGTGGTTCTTACTCGCTTCAATTTTGGGATAGAAAGATAGCTATTGGGCTTGGGCCCCATCTGTGGTGGTCTGATGGCTCACTGAGGCGCGCCCGAAACTTGAAGCGCCGTAAATACGGGTCTGGTTTTGGTCGGGCGGCGCAGAGCTACTCGTCTGCAGGCCCATGCACCACCAAGGAATTTATAGCCAAATATCTAAGTATAAAATACATCCAATAAGTACTTGAAATATTATTATTTATTGTTTTTAGCAACGAAGGAAATGCAGAAAGAGGTATATAAAATGAAATTTGTGGACGACCAAGACTGTGAAGAGTTTTATTATAAGGCTCAGGTATAATAATTATGCTTAGATTTAAAACTACGTATCAGACTTTGATACAGTTTTTTAAATAGATAAAGTAATTCAAGAGGAAGATTTATACGTTCTTATACCTAATTAACGCGTGCAAAACCGCGGGCAGAAACGACATTCTGTAAAACAGGATGATTATAATTCGACGGCTAAATAGATAAGGTAATAAGATGAAATAGTTACTATGATTTTTTTCCTAATATCTATTCACCCCTCTTCCGTCTCCATTCGCCCCATTTTACCATTAATAATCTTGGATATTTACCTACCCCACAGTTATCATTTGGAAAGACGAATCCGGTGAATCCGTTGTGTGCTGTGGCCGTGTCAGGGAATGTTACAATGCCATGTGTATGGGACGCGGGTACCGTACTAGTTACCAGACAGTCATGGGGTTTCTGGAAACTGGTGAGCTCATTTTTCAATACCTCTGCCCCACTGATGAAAAGCGTGCAAGCATTTTTTTTTTTTTTTTGTTAAAACCGTTGTCCAGTATAATTTTCCTGTGTCGTAAACATACAATTTCACATACACATGACACCCAGATTCGGAACAACAATTACCATTCCATTCAGATGCTACGATTCTTCAAACGCACCAAATCGATATCGAAGCTCGAAAGAACTATTTCAAAAAGAAACACACTTGAATTCGGTACCGTATTCTGAGGCCTTAGTACGAATTTCTTTTACGTTTAGATAAAGTAATCGTAACAAGTACGCGTTCGGCGCTGTGATTGGCCGGCTCCAATGAACAAACCAATCAGAGGCCTTAGTACGAGTTTGTTTTACGTATAAAGTAATCGTAACGAGTACGCGTTCGGCACTCTGATTGGCCGGCACCAATGAAGCAACCAATCACAGCGCCGAACGCGTACTCGTTACGATTACTTTATACGTAAAACAAACTCGTACTAAGGCCTCAGAGTACCAAGCACGAATAATAAACGTTCGGCGCTCTGATTGGCCGGCTTAAGTGAACCAACCAATCAGAACGCTTAACTCTCTCGATACTGTTACGATACGAATGCGATAGTTACTCGTGCTTGGCACTCAGAACACCGAACACCGTCTCGTTTCGATTACTTTAAACGAAAAAGAAACTCGTACTAAGCTCTCTGTAAACAATTAGTATGAAGTTTCGTATCTCACTTCGCTTCAGGAGTGCGTACTAATTATTATAGAATAACCGAGTTATTAATGTTCTTTCGAGCTTTGATAGTAATGTGTTAGATAATCGGACTGAAGTTCACATCGCAACGCGAGGCGACACGCATATAATGTTTATATCTTGTCGTGTAGAAAATAAAGTTGTTTTGAATGTCTGCTCTTTTAAAGTGAACGCACCGCCTCGCGTCGCATCTGTTTGTGAATTGGCCTTTATAGCATTCTATAACTTTGTAGCTGGGTTTCGCCGTCAGAAGCCCCGGTTGTAAAGCTCCAACCCGGTTCCTAAACATTCACGACTACTTACCCTGGATTAATGATATCATCACTCGGAAACCCTATGAAGATTATGAGGACGTATACAAGTTAGCTATGCGTAGACTTTCTCCATATAAATTCATTTTGTTTAAAGGTTAGTGCAATATATACCACCACTTCTACTTCATTTGTTCAACATAATCATAATGTTTGTTCACGAGCAATACGTGGCTTGCTACTGGAATGTACGATGAACCAACCAAGGACCGAATGCGCTGTGCAACGCACTGTGCCGCGTGACATCAGTGCATTATTTTTTTTATTTAATTTTTTAAGAGCGAAAGTTAACTTATGATGCCTCGTTTGCCGAGTGGTGCGACGTGTGCGACTGCCGGGCAAGGGGTCTCGAGTTCGATTCCATGGTCGGGCAAAGTATTACGGGTTTTTAAAAATCTCAGTAGTAGCACGGAGTTTTTTTATGAAATAGGAGGCAAACGAGCAGACGGATCACCTGATGGTAAGCAATCGGGCCACAGAAATATTAAAAACAGTTATTATATCTATTGAAAGAAAAAAAAAACATTTATTAGATACTCCATGGACACCCGAAACACAAGAGGCGTTTCAAGTGCGTCAAAGGCCTTTTGGGGATTTAAGAATTGTTGGGGATAAAAGGATTGTGGTAATTGGGCCTCCGGTAACCCCTCTCACACGACGAAACACAACGCAAGCATTATTTCATGTCAGTTTTCTGTGAAGCCGTGGTATCATTCCGGTCGAGCCGGCGCATTCGTGCTGAAGCATGGCTCTCCCACACTTTCGTATTCCGCAATTTGTTTTCACAAAGTAGTTATAGTAATTCAAAGGTTATACTTATTGCAGGTGATGCCAAAATACCAAAAAGTTTGGGGCAATGTTCAAGGAAAGCTCGAGGTGCTATCCTTTACAAAGACAGTTCTGAATTTAACACTAACAGTAATCTTGCCCAAGGATTTTTCCACGTGAGTATTTTACATAGTATATTTCAGTAATTTTACTTAACTTATATTTTGGTACCTACAGGTTAAGTATTTAGCATTCTCAAATATTAACATGTTTGTAACATAATGTTACATTTCTTTTTTCTAAGCAATTTGACATTATTATTCTAATGTGACATTGTTTATTAATTGAAAAAAAAATTTTTTTATTCTTCTTTGACATTTACTTTTTATTTTGACAATTGTTAGTGCTAGGACGCTAGGACCGTACGAGCCTTTGCCTCGCCATTTCGTTTCTAATTACCCATATTCTGACGGTTTGAGTATTTGTGCGACACATACAAATGTTCTTTAGGTTGGTATTGTTCGTCGAATCAATCAGCCTCACCTATTAATTGAGCTGACTGTAAACCGACACATGCGTACTGCCTTCAGAACGGATCCGCTGAAACTGTTGTGGTTCTTTCCTCAAAAGGCCATTACAGAAAGAACTTGCACGGTTCTCACACATAATCTTTTTATACATATTTGTCTGGACTTTAAAAAAGACGGACCTCTGAGTTTGTTTCGCCATTTCTTCTCAGAGTAGTCAGTTAGGAAATGTCGGCCTCATTGTTCGCTTGATAAAATTGACGTGTAAAAGTACTGCCTTGTAGCCTATTTGCAGAAATAAATTCACTGGTTTCACTTGTTCAGTGAACACTACCGTACCATCCTTTACTGGATTTGCCATTAGCCACATTTCCAGGCCCCTAGTTAAGAACCTCTGGATAAGACCAAAACGCAAATTTTTTGTCATCCAGTAAGCTATGATCACATACTTATAATCTAAAATTTTCAGTTTACACCACAGTAGAAGTATTCGTTTATTTCTACTGTGTCTACACGTCATTTAATTCTGAAGTTAAGTGAAAGCAAAGTTTGACATAAATGACAATGACCAAATTTGTATGGAGCGTGGTGGTTCTAGAAAAAGAAGTGAAGAAATCAGTCATAAAACACTGTGTAAAAAATCTAGCCAAGTCTCGATGAAGCTGATTGTTTATCTCTAAAAAGTATTGTTTACCCAAAGTCATGCCAAGTCTAAGGTTGTCTGACTTGTCCATTGACTTGTACCCACTTTATTTAAGGGGGGAAAGTCGTCCAATGACTTCTCTCGCCCGGGTGAGGCGAGAGGGAGTGTCAGACTGTTACTGGCTAAAAACCACCCCGTTCCTACTCCTGCACCGGACCCCGGCAACCCGTTAGGTTCAACGCGACTAGTCTGGTTCTGGTCGGGCGGCGAGTCACCCATGCTCGCCGTCTGCAGGTCCGCGCTTACGGTGTGGCCGGAGATCGTCCCGCAATCCCCGACGCCCAGAGTGTCCTTCGCGATGGCTGGGTTGCGAGTTGCTTCGCTGCCTCACTCGTCCCGCCTCCTCCTTAGCTAGCATGACTGCTTCGCAAAAGGAGCAGACGTCATCCCAGTCCCCCTCGCTCCGCATCATAACCCGTACTAGGGCCGGACGCCAGAGGTCGCCTTCGCCTATCACTTCCCTGAAGACACGGCAGTGCTCAGCCCACGCAGGACATTCGGCTACTGTGTGTTCCACCGTGTTCTCAAGGCGGTCCTCGCCAGTGATGACACCCGGACGTTTCCTCCCGCCCCATCAGACACAGGTACCTCCCGAAGACTTGTACCCACTAACGTAGAAAGAATGTTCAAGAGCCATTTGAATAACATTAACTATAACAATAAAGAAACCGAAATAAGGAACCTTAGACTTGGCACGACTTTCTTTTTCATAACATTTTAGAGATAAATAATAAAACAATAATAATAAAACAATTAGCTCTTTCGAGACTTGGCTAGTTTTTTACAGAATGTTTTTTGTGTGCCCCATCTGACTCAAGTGTGTAATGACTTTATTCAATTTTTATCGACCTGGAAACTGAACGCTCACTTTAGTAGTTGCATTTAGGCCCACTTGAAAGAAAATAGCAGAAAGAATTAACATAACGATGTAGAAAATAAACTTGTAGGCTCACCCCCTATTACATGGGACTCATAACATATGTAAATAGTAAAAAGTGGGTGTTACATTGTACAGTGGCATAATGTGCACCTCTGCCTACCCCTTCGGTGATAAAAGGCGTGATGTTGTGTTAAAATAAACTTGTTGTGTTTTTCTAGGTCGTGGTTAGTCAGATAGCTAGTTTTAGGTGTGTCGAAGTCTCCCTGGATTGTAAAATGAGAACAAATGCTGCTATTTGGTTGGAACACAACTGCCACCCTGACATGATGGGACTTGCTTACAATCAGTCCAGAGGTGGAGACAGAGAAAGGTAAATATAAATACATTTTTGATAGCTCCAATGTTGTAGGTAGCACTGTAGCACAACGCTATTGAATACTTAACCGGAAAACTCCTTGGAGTTAGGCTATTCTGTAAGATGTCAATTCGAACTGTCCAAGTGAGCTCAACCGCATTCTAGCCCGTCATTGGTCGATATTATTTTTTAATTTTTTTTTATACCACGACGGTGGCTAAAAAGCACACGTCCCACCTGATGGTAAACGGTTACCGTGGCCTATGTACGTCTGCAACACTTGGGGCATTGCATGCGTCTTGCAGACCCTTAAGAAACCTATTCACTCCCCTCTTGAAGAACCCCATGTTGTAGCCCACTGGGAAAACCACGGCAGGGGAGTTCATACCACAATCGGAGGGTCCATGGAACAAAATTCCTCTGAAACCGAACTGTACGGGACCATTTGGGCTCCAATGTGTGAGCGTGAACTCCCTGTCGATGGATTATTTTTACATCCAATGACAGTGAACCGCAATTGTCATCTTGCAGAATAGCCAAGCAGTGGCCTTAAAGTTAGGCCCTCAAAGAAATAAATAAAAAAAAAATGGTTGCCTGTAAAGTCGTTTTTACGGGCGAAGATTTTACGTGACAACATAAACTCAGTTTCTCAACTTTTGTGTCAATCTAACAATTAATCAATCAATCATAGTTTACGATAATGAAATATCAGTGTACAATTATTTACCTTTATTGTTGTAGTTGTTGTAAATGACGAATCTAAGCACTCCACATTTTCACTACAGACACAGCTGACGATACTTTAACCACACGTGTGAACTTGTATTATGACGCTTTCTTGTTTTTCCAACGCCAAGAACGTTCGAGAAAGACAAAGACAGAGACACAAGCATGTGCCGATTCAATGCGCCTAATTCTCTAGTGCTGCGCGCGCGGCAGACCGATCATAGTTGAGTGGGAGAGAGACGCAAGGCATTCGGCGGGCCTCTCTCTCGTTCGGTGACTCATCGTAACGTTACCGAGCGTTACACTTTTTCATAAGTGACTCCCAGCCGCAACCTAATTTAAGACGTTGTCACGTCAAAATGAAAAAAATAAATTAATTTATATAAAAATGTAACACGTTTCCCGTTGTCACGCCATGACTTGAGAATGGCTGGAACGATTTGGCTGATTCCATTTTTTGTTGTGTTTGTTTTTGTCCAGGAGTAGGTTCTTATGATAGAAAAAAAAATGCTGAAAATCTTATGGGAAGTATTACTATCTTATACGAAGTCACGGGCAGAAGCTAGTATAGAATGAAATGTGGATTAGTTTTAGAAATATCCTTTTTTCTTTTATTTTCCAGATTGCTATGCTTCGTTTACTTCAAGACATCTGCGTTTGTCGAGGTTCGGTTTATTTTTTCGTTTTCAGCAATGATTGACGTTACTCTATTCGGTAACGAGGAATCACCGAGATTTATTCCAAATCCTTTCAAGTCATCACAACATACTACAGCTTGGTGGCCGACTGATAGACTGCTAATAATGTCGCATTGGACCCCAACAAATACATGGTGGTATGGTTTATAAAATATATATAGAACTGTTACTTTATGAACAGTGTTTTTTATTTTACTGTTGTAAATGCCTAACCGAGTGTTCACATCTGGTGAATGCTCCGCGAATGGGCAGCTCGCGAGCGGCCCGCCAGATGAGCGCCCGTGCATTTAAAATTATTATTTGTACGATACCTTGTAGGAGTTGAGCACCAAACCAGTAGCCGTAACTGTACGCATGCAGCTTGCGGGCTGGCCGCTGCACGTTCGCCCGATGTAGACGCAGCCTTATGTGAGTCTGTGCGTCCTTTATTTTAGACTCTACTATAAAATATTGCACTTACAATTAAGGTACTGATGCCCGTTATCACTATCATCATTTTATTTATATTTATTTTCGGCCATGATCGCCCCACTGCGGGGCAAAGGCCTCCTTCCATTCCTCTATAAGTAAAGCTTTTTGCGGCCAATCCTTGTCATGCATATCCAATTCGTCCCGCCGTCTCCTTTTGGGCCTGGCACGACGTGTATTGACGTTGGGCATCAGTATCAACAACCTCTCTTAAATTTTAAGGAACCCTTGAGCTAAGATATACCTGATTTACAGCAACTTTTAAGTGACACCTAACTGTAACTTAACGGTAACTTTTTACCGACTTCAAAAAAGGAGGAGGTACTCTGTTCGGTTGATTTTTTATCTATGTTCTCCGATTACTCCACCGTTTATGGACTGATTTTCTGATCTTCTTTTGTTCCAAATGTTAAGATGCTCCCTAACCGGGAGCATTCACGTGTAATGTAACATTATAGATTCGACTTTGAGAATTACAGTACAATAATACCTCGACTAACGAGCATTTGCGTGTAATGTAACATATCGATTTGAATGTGGGGGGCTGGGAGAAGTGAAGCGCATTAATGCTACAAGTTGTATCAAGATATTACACATTGTACCATTACAAGGTGCGCATTGTAGTGCTCGGTTCTCCTCCTTCACTGATGTAATGCTCAGATCTGTAACGTTACATTACACGAGAATGCTCCCGGTAAGGGAGCTCCTTAATACTTCCGAGGTGATTCCATTCCACTAGGTCAGGATCTGATGATGGAATGGGAAACTAGTGCATTTGGTAATAAGTTAGTGTGTCTGTGTATATGTCTATTACTCGATCACAACAAAATGGCTGAAGGGCTCGGGATGAAAATTGGAATAGGGATATATTATGGTCTGAAATAACACATAGGGTTCCTTTTAAAGAGAAGCGAATCGCTTCGCCGCTGTCAGAAGCTAGTAATAAGTAAAAACAATATCTAGCAATTAGTTTTAATTCCTTTCTATGAAATAGGTACTTATGCGTACTTATATTAATCTCGAACCTTGGACGACGCGAACGCGTCGGCACTTACTTATCGGGAACAAACAACATCAATACAATACATTACAAATCAATTAATCGTACAAAAACACGAAAAAGAAACAATAATATATTGTAAATTATGCGAGAGTGCCACCGAAATGTAATAATGATATGTATGTACTTCATTTAGTTTTGAAATAGTGATGGCGATGACAACTGTGTTCATATTATTGCTTGCTACATTTGGATCAGCGAGGGAATATACAGGTAAATGACATTATGTTACCATTAAATAACATAAGATATAAGTCTTTTTAAAGACAAGCTTTTAAGCATGTTGTATAATATTGGTTAATTTATGGTTATGCAAACTAAACGTTGATACAAAATTTCAATTCAATCGGTTGACGATTTGTCTTTTGCATTTAGTAGCAGGATTCCATTTCACAGATTTATAATCATATACATAGAAACATATTCGTATTTTTTTCTTGAGGAGGAAATTATCATCCAATATTTTCTCCCGCTTTGGGTGAGGCCAGAGAGAGTGTCAGACTCTTACCTTCGATCCAGAGCATTCTGGAAAAGCATTAAAAAATATTTTAGTTTTTTTTTAAATTTAGTAGGTACTTATTATCTTTTTGCAATCAGTTTGCAATCAGGTTTCTAAACCAGAACTGGCGAAACGTGAGTGCTCCGTCACCGTTACAATAGGTGCGTCTTATTATAACCTGTACCCCATGGGGAATTAAGAAACGTGATATCAGTACCAAATTTTAATTTTAATGTCCGTCTGGTAGATTATTTTAAAACATAATACGTGTATTTTTTATTTTTTACAGAAACGAATAATTTCGGCGATATATTGATTTGAAATGTCGCGTGACGTCACTTCTGTGTACATTTTATACGTAGAAATGACATTTTAGCCCCCACTCCTAAACTTTGATTCGTTATATCTAAGTATCATTTTATTATACAACAAAAAACAATACGTGTCTAATATTTTTTCATTACCCAACTTACGGGCTAATTAGATTTTTAATGTTCATACCCTGTCATCATCCCTATTCTGTCATTCTTCTCTTCTCTTGTTAAAAAAATGTTGTTTTTCATTTTTCCTCTTCCTTATTTGTTAGATGTGATGATATTTTTACCTAAGTTAACATTGACTGAATTAACAACATAATAAATTAAGGATTGATAATGCGGTGCTATAATGTAATAAATTAAATTAAATTAAGAATATATATATACGGACGGGTATATAATACATCAATACATAGTATAAAACAAAGTCGCTTTCGCTGTATGTCCGTATGTATGCATAGATCTTTAAAACTACGCAACGGATTTTGGTGCGGTTTTTTTTAATAGATAGAGTGATTCTTAAGGAAGGTTTGTATGTATAATACATGCATATTGCACCCGTGCGAAGCCGGGGCGGGTCGCTAGTATATAATAATGATTAAATGTAAATGTATGGATAATGTGTATGAAATAAAAAGATTTTATTTTTTATTTATATTTCTTTTAGATGTGGAAGCATCCAGTTTCCCTGCACTATTCCATCTGGATGACTATGAGCGATGTCTAGCAAAGGAGGATGGAGTGTATTGCCTTGGCACCTTCGATCTTACACCGGCGCAACTGCCACACACTACTTATGATTTAATGAAAGCAAGTACTGAATTATACTATAAGTACTATAACTAGGCTTCGCCGGTGGTTTTCCCAAAACCAGCGAGAAACTCCTCCTTGTTGTCTCTGCAAACCATGGATGTTAGGGAGTTCCGTAACCGTAACTGAGACTATCGGATATCCGATATAAAAAATATCCGTAACCGAATTGGTGGACCGAGTTGGACTGCACGGTTGGTGCGGTGGCTGGGTAACCGGCTGCCGAGCAACGTGTCGCGGGTTCGATTCCCGCACGGAACAACACTTTGTGTGATCCACAAATTGTTGTTTCGGGTCTGGATGTGATGTGTACCATGTGAACTTGTATGTTTGTAAACGCACCCACGACACAGGAGAAAATCCTAGTGTGGGGCAACGTTTTTTTAAAAAAAAAAAAAAAATTCGAAATAAAAGTTTCAGATACTATCGGATAGGGGCGTGACGTATAAATTAAACCAATATATTAGCTATTAGCATTTTACTATTGCAATTCCTTAAAATTTTAATATTCGTAGGTAACCGAAATTGTCCGAAACTAACGGATAATCCGAAATAATTTCATATCCGTATCCATAACCGTATCCAGTATAATAATCATCTCTATATCCGTATCCAATCCGTATCCGAAATTTTATATCCATTACATCCCTGCTGCAAAATAATAATTTGTTTTTGTAACATTTCATTGAATTCCAGGCTTATTCAGATGAATCATATCGTCACTTTAACCGAACTAGAATACATCGCGGCTACTGTTTGAGCGAAAGATGTTCCTCGGCTACTTTAGCACACTTTAACACTACACTTGACCTAGGAGACAGCCCTGAACAACTCTTCGAAAGATGCACAAACTTCTATATGCAAGCAGAAAACTTTCACGCTTCCATAAAGTCTGTGGACTACTGTCGCACTCATTCTGACATCATTGAAGCATCGGAAAGACCCCCTACATCTGCAGAACTGATCTTCAAGAATGTGGTTTATGCCTTGATAATTGCTAATATTGTGGGGACCATTTATGATAATATTTCTGGTGACAACCTTAACAGTAAGTTTTTTTTTCATTTGTCACTGTGATTCTTTTTATCTACACAGATAAAGAAAAATGTCTGTTCTGTTATACAGTTCTGTCACACTCGAAATTATACTACCCTTTAATTTGTGAAGTTAAATAAAAGTTATTTTATTCGTTAACTGCAGTGTTTCCTTTAAGAAGAGAACTTACCATATCAAAATCTAACAGTTTGTAATATTAAATTAACCGCTTTTTACTACATAATGTTTATGAATTTAGCTACATACATACGAAACACATACCATAATAACATCTTTTACACTCTTTGTCTATCTGTATGCTTGTACTGGCTAATCTCTGGAATGGCTGTACCGATTTTGCAAGACTTGTATTGGCAGGTAGCTGATGTACTAAGAAGTACCATAGACTACGTTTATTTTGGAAAAGTGAAACTAAAAAGGTTATGTTCTAAAATTCATATTCTGCGCGGGCAACAGCTATTAATTAATAAGGTGGCGTTCGGCCAAAAGTAGTTTCATTTAAAATGGAGACCGTAAAATGGTCTTAAACTTCCAACACTTTATAGACACAGGTCACTTAAGATCACGATCAGAAAAACCTGTTCGAAATAAATAAATACATTACGAATTTATAAACCTAAATAGACAATAGAGCTAAGATAAATGTAGTGCAGCAGTTTAATCAGCCATGTAATATACTTTTATAATTGCAGAAAGCAAACTTCTATCTGCGTTCTCCATACCAGCAAACTGGCGTCGCCTGACATTTATCCGTGAAGGTGGAGATCCTCGACAAGCTGCCTTGGTGCCCATGGAAGGTATCAGGTAAATTAGCAGCCATGGTCATCCCACTTCAGGGCTAAGGCCTCGCTACCTTTCTTCCACTCGCCTCTTCGTATAGCTTTCTGTGGCCAGTCCTTTTCATAGACGTCAAGTTCGTCCCGCTATCTCCTGGGGCTGCCACGACGT